GTTATGAAATTTTTTAATTTATTTTTTTCCTCTACAAATACCTTACCCCTAATCATTTTTATCTCACAACAAATTCAACAATCTCTCTTCTACTCTTTCTACAATATAATTCCTTCATTATTATTATTTATTCTACAATTTTTCTACTCTCTACAATTATATTACATACACATACATTCATTATTACAATTTTATTATATAAAGTCCTTCAATTTTATTTTCTACATACACTATATGTTATCCAATTTATACATCTCATCTTTATTCTCTAAATTATAAATTATCCAATTTATTCATTTCAAAAAATTTGTACATGTAACAAGTTGTGTTTGTATAAGTTTAGCTCCACCTTCAAAATTAAGCCCCCGTTTGATCCCCATTAAATTCAATTACATTACATTCCATTTTTCTCTTTCCTAATTTCAATCACACAATCTTCCATAAAATAATATTACACGTAAATCGAAAATTTTTCCTTCTTTTTTAACCACTCATTTTTCTAAAAAATATTATTCCCCCCATTTTCATTTTCAGGTAATGGGGGACAAACGGGGCTAAGTAATTGGTCCCAAACTCAAACAAAAAAGTAGGGTTTTAAAATGATAATAAAAAATTAAAAGAATTTCAATTTTCAACACACGCACACATTCTACTTCTACAACTTTGTATATTTTACGTTTCAAATTTATACAATTCAATTTTAATGAAAATGAAGAAGCAATTTCCTCAAATTTCAAGTAATGTCAATGAAGTGTGCTACCAAATATATGAAGTGTGTTTTGTTTATGTTTGACGGACGCTTCATTGATGATACATGGAAGAACATGAGAATATCCAATTTATTTTTAAGTCAAGCATCCAAAAACGAGTATATTTGGCAGCACGCTTTATTGACGATGCCCAGATTGGAATTTAAGAATATGAATTCTTTGTTTTTGGATGTTTGATTTAAAAAAATAAATAAATAAATTGTAAACCTAACAAGTTGCTCTTGTACAATTTTAATTTCACCTACTCTCTAAAATAACAGGTCCCAATCCCAAATAAAATGAGAGTTTAAAAAAAATTATTAAAAATATTTTAAATCTAATTTCAAATTTTCAAATCATAATTTCCAAACATCTTGATATTGCATGGAGAAAGAAGTTGGTGAGCTCATACCTTGTAAGAAAAATTCTTGATTCAATCCATATGTATCTACAAAACCAAGACTCAAATCCCTTTGAATAATCAACCCTAACAATCGTGACTCAAACAAAAGACAACACGGACTCAACCAAGCCTTGACTTACTGTAGCAGAATAGTTTTCAAAGATTAATCTCAAGAAATGATTAAACAAAGAACATTTTAACCAGAAAAGGGGGTGAAGATCACACAAAAACAAAAAACTGAAAAGTATAAAATAAAAAATAAAAAAAATAAAAAAAAAGGTTAAAGCCATAGTGAATCGACATCCAAGTCAAATGGATTAATAATCTAAGAATGAATCTCAGCCATCCATATGATCAGACAGTTCACAACCCTTCTCAACTAGCACAATCCTTACCCAGCCAATAAACTTGTTGGATGTTGCCAAGTGAGCCAAAAATAGCACCCTTGTAATAGTATTTTGAGAAACACACAATTTCAA